TACTAATAATGTGACAGCTCTGAAAAACTATCCTTTCTTTTTAGGCTAGGAACATGCATGTTTGAATTATAGGAAAATATATCAAGAAATAGAAAATACAAAAATCAAAGTAACTGACAAAATAAGAAAAAATGAAATTATATAAACCCACATGACTTGAAACATTTGAAAACTCCCTTGCCTCACCTTAAAAATCAACTGAACTTAAATTAAGGAACAGTTCAGATTCAGTAAAAGTGGGCTATGTGAACTTCTGTGAAATCTGTGAGGTTTCCCACCAAACAACCACCTCAGAGCCATCTGTGTTACCACCTGTGGGTACTTTCATCAGGCAGAGCCCTGGAGGAAGTAAGACACTCCATCCTTTCTTGATCAGGCTTTCAAGAGGTAAGAACTTCTTACCTCTCCAAAAGGTGCAAAATGAGTGCAATTTGCTTGAATACCCTTCTAAGTACATTAAGTCTCTGTAAGCTCCCTACCTCTGCTCCTTTGGTGCACAATAACAAGAGCAGTTTCTCCAAGGAAACAATTAACTTCAGTAAATCAATATTCACTATCTTTGCCACTTAGAAGCAACTTCCTTTGGAGCTTGTTAACAACAGAAAAATTCACACTATCCAAATATAAGAGATTACTTCATAACATGGTGTATCTTAATATAGGAAAACTTCTTTCTGTGAAAAGGAAGCAGAACTTCAGAGATTCCTTGGGCAGAGAACTGAATGACTATGACACGTATTCAAGAACATTAAGCTACTCAATTTAATCTTCTAAACCAACCTGCATGTACTATTAGCTACCATTTATTGAGTGTTTACTATATACCAAGCAATGTGCCACATGTATTACAACAAATATCTTAGCAAATATGCATTATAGTCCTAAAAGGTGAGGACTATTATTGTTAATTTACAGATGAGAAAACCGAGGCTCAGAAGGATTAAATTATTTGTACTGTGATCACTGAATTAGTACAGGGTAAAGATGAGATTTGAACTCAGTCTGTGTGATTCCAGTAACCATGTACTTCACACTATTTTATGTTGTTTCTCAAGTCTAATTTTTGCAGAGGATTATAGTGATATTTAAAAAAGATATTTATTGCAAATTACTATGTGTCTACAAAGAGTCCTTGGACTAGCTGTGAGTGGTAAATTGCAAGTAATGATAACTCATAGCATGCAGTAGTGTCACAATTACTAAGACTCTCAACTGTAGTATATTGGAAAGGGGTACAAACAGAAAATAAAGCCATGGATTATATGGTGGGTATGGTACTTGGGCATTATGGTAGCAATTATACAGTAGACTGGCATTTGTTAACTGGTTTGGAAAGCTTGATAAAAGGAAATGACAGGCTCAGTTCATCCAACTATCAAACCAGGGCACCCTATGAAAGCCATAGGTTCTCCTGTGTAGCTACTGAGCAGACTGTGCTAAAAATCAGCCCCAGTAGCTAATCATAAAGGTGGCAGAGCCACAAAGGAGTTCGAATTCAGAGCCTTGGAATATCACCAGAATGCTACTAAGAAAATAATGGAAATTTGAGATTTGAAATGGAAACATTTGTGTGGGCTTTATAATCTTAAACCCCCAGATTTTTTTCTTCCTCTTGCCAATAATCTCTTTCCTCTTGATAATGGAAAGCAGCCTCCACTTGTCTGGAAATGCTACAAAAAACATGCCTAAGGAAAATACCTCAAAATATGACTTTATTTTCTTCATCCTCTATCTGTAGCCCCACCCTTATTGCCTCAAGCCCAAGGTTGGATCTCAGCACAGCCTATGTGAGGATTTGCAATCCTGGAGAGAACAAGATCAAGCTTTCTCATCTTTGACAATAGTGGCATTTTGGATTGGATAATTCTTTCTTGTGGAGGGCCACCTATGTATTATAGATTGTTTAAAAGCATCTTGCCATATACCTACTAAGTGCTAGTAGAACTCTCACAGTAATTATAACAAAACTATGTCTAGACATAAATGTCCCCTGTTGAAAATCATTGAACTAGACTAACTCAAAAGAAATTACAAAATGGGTTAACATTTACTAATAGGAATGAGGAGAATGTGAGAATAAGTATTTAGAGTGGTAGACCAGAGGAACAACATTACAAGACTAGACAGGGGAAATTTTATATAGGGGATAACCTGTAGTTTAATACTTTGGCAAGTCCTAATACACAGCCTTCGTCTCCATAAGGACTGGATATGATGACAGCCTGTACTAAATGAGATTAAGTTGCTATAACAATCTTAATGGATACTGAGAAAGGACTGTACTTTAGCCCCACTCAGGGATCACTCTAAGGAACAACCCTGGAGAGGAAACTCTCCAGGCAAAGCTTGGAGCAACACGCTTTATCATTCACTTTATAAAAAGGGAGAAATAACCCAAAGTAAAAATATTTACAGACTCCTATATTTGCCTTTCTTGCCTACATCTACAATCACCAGAATTATAGCATTCTGAATCAACATTACTTCAACCAATCACACTCCCCAAAAAGTGACAATATGTGCATGATCACTGATATACACTGATATTGTCATATTCTTCACCATTCAAACATAGTTAGCCTTGTAAAATGGTGGAATGGTTTGTAATAGTCTTCATTAATGTGCCCTCTTGGAATTGGAATGTTGTCCTACAGTTTTAGTAAATGCACTGAAGGAACCAATGGAACATTCCCAGCAGCTCAAGACTTAGCTCCAGAAAACCAGGAATAGGAGCAGGACTGATCCATCATATCAATCCCAGTGACCTACTTGCAGAATTTGTATCTTGTACCACTCAAATTTAGACCTTGCTATAATAACTGCAATAATTGTTTCTCTGGGGTTGAGTGAAGAATGCTTCCAACAGGATACACAGTATGGAATTCTCTGAACTTGAAGCTCTCACTATCATTTTGTCTCTTTGGGTTTGCCTTAACAGTGGACCAGCCTCCATAGAAAGCAGTTACAATACTGGTGGGAGCAATCAACTGAGATTAGCAAAGTATCTGGGATTGTTGCTACACAGTAGCAGTAGGGATGAATATATCTGTAGTTAAAGGAATTCACTGGAGCTTATCTTGGTGGTTCTGTACCCAAGGATAGGTTGAACAGGCAATTATTGCAATCATGGCCCAATTAAAGAAGGAAAATAAATAAAATGGTTATCACTCCATAGAAACAATCTAGATCAGTTGATATGTTACCCAAGGGTGGGGTAAAATTAGAATGAATGGTAGAGAAGGAAGTTAATGAATACAAGTATGGTCTTAATATTAGTGCATCACTAAGAACAAAGCTTATTCCTTAACTCTTTTACATTAATTCCTTGCAGAGATTGTGGCTGGCCATCACCTTGGAGAGACCTGTGTGAAGGTCTGGATTTAACCAAAGTGGTGTAAAGGACTCTTTATGTGCACTTTCTGTTACCACTTCAAATCCCTTAAGACTCTTATTTCAACCACCATTGCAGCAACCTGTTCTGAGCAGAGTTTGATGAGTTTTGAGCAAGTGCAACATGACAGCACCTCTCCTCTCACTTTCTGCCTCAGCACATCCTTGATATGAGAGTGGCATTCATAATTGCATAATTTTGAAGTGTAGAAGAGTTAATGCTCAGGAGTATTAACCTTTGATCGAAGAGGGACGGGAGTTGACAGATAAATGTTTCCTCCATTGTTTCCTTCAGTGGACAGTTCTGGGACTCATTTTATCAAGCTTCTTAGAAGGTCCTAAGGGATTGGGAAAACAGTCAAACATAATGATGATCATCAACTCAATAACTCCGCCTCAGACTGCCTCTCCTTCTTCTGTTTCATTTCCCTCTCCCTTCCCTCACTTTTGCTCTTTGGAGTCAAATCCTCAGAAGCCTCACTTCAGGGAGAATCAAGGAGGGGAGGGGAGAAATGAGAATTAAGTTATTGAGTTGAGATGCCTCTGAGTCATCTGAATGGAAAAGCCAGGATAGGGGTGTGGGTAGACAAATCTGGAGTTCAGGGAGGTTTAGATTTCTGAAATACAATTCATTTCCCAATTTTAAGGAAGAAAGTAGCATACAATTGTCATATAAAGTATGCAAAGTATGCATTCCGGGACTGAGTAGGAAAGATATAACAGGTATTTGTAAAGATAGGTCTAGACCCTGCTCTTAAAAGGGAAGTCATTCAACGAAAATGAAAGGCATTTTAAGCAGCCTTGACTACAGCATATTAATCTCAGTAACAAACAGTTCCCTACTATGTCTGCTAATTTTCCCACCAAATTCTATCTTGAGATTATCAGTGAAAGATACTTTGCACAGCTCATCTGTCACTTTCTCAGTGAATCCATCACTGATAGAGTGAGTTACTCCCTCTTTTGCATTCCCCTTGTTAAGCACTAACACACTGTGAACTCCTTCAGAGTGGGATTCAGGCGCGAGAATCACCTCCCTAACCAGAAATAAAAGTGCCTGGCATAAGTGTCATAAATGAAGCGACAGGAATGTAGAATTAATGAACCACCTGCCTCATAACCAGTAGCACTGTTATTATCTTTGCCTCTCAAACTTAAATATACAAAAGCATCATCTTGTTAAGATATAGCTGGTTCTGATTCGGTAGATGTGAAGTGAGCCCAAGGCTGCATTTTCTAAAGAGCCCTCAGATGATGCTCAAGCACCTGGACAGCAGAGCACACTGTAGTAAGAGTTAGAATTAAAAGTGCTTTACATATGCTAACAACAAAACAAAAGATTTAATCAGCTCTCTTAAGTTGCCGCAAATATCAGAATAAACATTTATAGAGAAGGGAAATATCCCATAATATCAAACCCCCAGTCTCACTTAGGCCTCGCGCATTTGACGTCCCGCCCCTGCCTTTACAAGACACGCCCCTCCAGCGAGAGTCATCCCCGCCTAGCCGCGCCCTTCGGTTGGCGCTCCGCCCCCTCCACATCTATTGGCCTCTCCCTTTTTCGCACCGCCTCTCCTTCCTTTTCTACAGAATCAACTTCCGGCGCGGAATTTGTCACGTGTCCGGATATGGGAAGTTGTGGGGAAACTGCAGCTTCCCGTTGGCGGTTTAATTGAGGGGCACGTCCTAGTGGTGGTGGCCGCCACAGCCCCATCCGGTCTCTGTGTTGGAGGACCCGCCTCGGCATAGCCGGGCTCGGTCCGGCCTTGCGGTAAGCTTTCGGCCGCGGCTGCTCCGAGGTCCCGGCGGCGGCGGCGGCGGCGGACCGAGGAGTGGACGGGCGGGCTCCAGGGTTTGAGCCGGTTTGTCACTGCCGCTACTGGCTCCGCGCCGGGCATCGGGCACTGAACTCTGGCCAGGCCTCTTCCCAACCCCGCCTGATGTATAAGGAGAAAAGCCCAGTGGGAGCATCCTCCACCCCTTGCTGGGCGAATGCGGAGCTGGGAGGGCAGTCCTCTTAAGTTCCTCTACGGTTCCGCCCATCGGATCCAAATTTCATATTTGACAAACAGTCCTTACCGTACTTACGCTCTTTGGCGTGGACTAGGAGAGAAGGGCGTGACACTGCCTTCTCCTTTGTCCTAAGGAACATGTTCTTCGAAATCTCTTAAGCGTGTTTCCCTGTCTCTATGCAGTTTTGTCTTCTAGATGATGGTGCTCCCTGCCCTAAATTGTCTCAACAGCATTCGAGGCTCAACCCACATGGCCTCACTCTGACCAACTATTTGTCATGCAGTGTAATGGCCCAGCTGAGTTTAAGGAAGCAAGAACCAATACAGAACCAACAGTGGCTTGCTGTCTCTGACACATGGTCAAACTTGGGGTTTTAGACCTGTAAAATAGATTTATATGATCGCTAGTGATTTGTTTACTGACATACAGAAAGGTACTGTAAAAACCGGAGAGATCATTACTGGACCTATAGGATGTAAATTCCATGTAAGTAGAGGTCTTGGTGTCTTCGGGAACATGTTTGTCATGTTCACCACTGTAATAGACTAGCACCTGGTACTAGCACCTGGTACTTAGTAGACATCAGTATTTGCTAAATGAACGAATGGTCACATACAGCTTTTCACTATGACTGCCTCTTTTATGAGGTATGCCCAGTCTTCTCTTTTTACCAGTTACCATGCACCCAATCATTGCTTTAGACTAAGGAGAGACTGTGTGGTAAACACTGGCCATTATTAGTCATTGATTAGTCACTGATTTGACCATTTTTTACTGTTCAGCTCAGATTTCCTTAAGAAATATCTGTTAAGTACTTATCAAGAACACAAAAATGATACAGCCTCCCTGCCCTCCCTCCTGTCCTTCTCTACCCTCTCTTACTCTGTTAATAGGGCTCCCAAGATGCGGGAGCTTATGCTCACATGAGCCAAGTAGACAGCAAGTGCTTGATTATTCAGTAAATGCAATAAGTGCTATAGAAATTTAGAGATGAGGTCAATTTGGATTAAAGTCTTTATTGAATTAACTTCATATAAACCATGAAATGTAATTAGAGTTTGGATAGGGAAGAGATATTTCCTGCATGGAAATGTGCCTAAGCAAAATGAACAGAGTACTTTAAGTGGAAGTTTTGTATTTCGGAGCATTAAAAGAATGTTGAGGGAGGGTATGATTTGATGAAAAGTATGTTTTAAGATTATTTGTTTTTTAGGATTATAACAGTTTGCAAAGAGATAACCAGGTGCACTCTATAAAGTTCGTATGAACCTTGGTAATATTGGAAGTGGAAACAAAAAGACAGAAATAAATTATATGTAAATGTAGGAAATCACAAAATGTGATCTCACTGCAAATGCCATGTTGACAATGGAGTACTATGTAATTTTGATAATGATTTTGATAATGGAGAAGGAAATAAAATATGATAGATTTTGAACCTGGGTATTTGCTTACAGATGTGGAAGTTGGAATGTGGGAGTCTTGAGGGAGCCTCAGTTGTTGTTACTTAGTGCTATCATGTTAGTTAATTTGTTAAACATTTATAAAATATACTGAACATGTACATACTTGACATTATTTCCAAAACAATATAGTATTACAAGTGCATAGCATTTACATTGTATTAGGTATTACAAGTAATCTAGAGATTATTTAAATTTTGTAGTTTATGCAGATACTATGCTATTTCATGCAAAGGACTTGAGGAACTGTATATCTGAGTATTTTCAAAGGGTCCTGGAATCAATGTCCCACAGATACTGGAGGAAGACTATCATGCTGCTGTGAACACTAATGTACAAGTTTTCTATGGAAATACTTAAAAATTTTTTTTTAGTTATACCTGGACACAATATCTTTATTTTGTTTATTTTTTTATGTGGTGCTGAGGATTGAACCCAGTGTCTCACATGCAAAGCAAGTGCTCTGCCACTGAGCCACAACCCCAGCCCTGTAAATGTTTTTTTTTTTTTCATTTCTCTTGGGAGTGGAATTTTGAATCACATTGTAAACCATGTTTAACTTGTTGAGGAACTGCCAAACCATTTTCCAAAGGAGACACACCATTTAACAATCCCACCAGCAATGCCTGAGAATTTTATTTTCTCCAGATCTTTATTGTCTGTTGTTTTGACTTTAGCTAGACTAGTGGATGTAGAGTATTAGGTTTTTCATTGTGTTTCCCTAGTGGTGAATGATGTTGAACATTTTTTCAGGTACTTATTGGCTATTTGTGTACCTAATTTGAAGACATGTTTATTCAGTTTTTAATTAGTTATTTGTCTCTTTATTGTTGAGTTTTAAGTATTCTTTGTATGGGAGACTATATGTAAAGATTGAGCATGATTTTTTTTTAATAAATCTCTATGAGAGGGGTGAAAGGAGAGATATAATACTTGGTGAGCATTTCTAAAGATGTTAGAGTTTGGTAACACTGATTCTCTAATTTCATTTTCACACTTACAGCTTTATGTTTTTATGATGCTGATGCATTAATATATCATTTTTTCTATACTTATTAAACAAAATTAGATCATTTTTAAATCATAAATGGAATAATAAGGTGGAATGATTTTGATAATGAGCTAAATATCTACACTCTGAATTTTCAGCTGAGAAAAGATGACAGCAATCAAACACGCATTACAAAGAGATATTTTTACACCAAATGATGAACGCCTGCTGAGTATTGTGAATGTCTGCAAAGCAGGAAAAAAGAAAAAGAACTGTTTTCTGTGTGCCACAGGTGGGTATTTCATAAGAAAAAGTATTTGTTTGGCATTCTTTTATTTCTTAGGGGATATTTTCTTTTTTAAAAAAAATATTCTCATTGTCTTTATAATTGGAAAAAAATTGGAGGACCAATAAATTAATTTTTTGTTAAATATTGAGCAAATATTTAAAAAATTTTTATAATATATACGTAAGGCATAAAGACGGCTTATTCATAGAACACTTGGGTCCTTTCTACTCAGTATAAAAACCTATAACATTACTTTTGAAGCATCATGCATGCCCCTCCTTGACCCCATTCCCTTCCCCTCTCCATTAAGAGGTAACTGGTATCTTGAATTTTGTTTACTTTTTCCTTATCATGTTACCATATATATTTTAAATTTTAGACACTATAGCTTTTCATCTCTTTGAACTTTATATAAATCGAATTATAGTGCATATATACTTTGTGGTTTTTTTTTTTTCCCCACTCAACTTGAGTCCATTTTTCATGAGTTTTTCTTTTGTTCTTTCATATAGTCATAATTACTTCATGTTTATTGCTCTGGATTATTGTACTATGTAAGTGTCCCACAGTTCACCTATCCATTCTAACAGTGATGAAGATTGAGTTTGTTTCTAGGTTTTGCAACTCAGACAGCACTTGGATGAATGTGTTTGTTTTTATCTCCTAGTATATACAAGCAAAAAAGAAAAATTTAAGGTAGATTCTTAACATGAGGCTTTGCTGAGTCATAGGTATATGAGTAACCAATTCTGCTCTAATACCAAAGTATTTTCAAAAGTAGATTTAATTTTCACACCCATCAGCAGTGGGTATGTGTTTTCTACATCCTAATCAACAGTTGATTCTATCAGACTGATAATTATTGTCAATCCAATGGGAATAAAATAGTGTTTCATTAGGATTTTTAAATGGAGTTCCCCTAATGAATATCAGATTGAGCATCTTTTTATTAATTTGTTAATCATTTTGTTTCCTTGTCTATGAAATTTACCTATATAAGCCTTAATTTATTTTTCTGTTGTGTTGATTGTCCTTTTAGTGATATGTACAAATTCTTTATATTGTCTGAATATTAATCCTTTGTCAGTTATATTCAACCCAGCATATGGCTTTCACTTTTTATGATGGCTTTTAATGAAATTTATAATTCTAAGTAATTAAAGTAAATCAATCTGATCCTTTATGGCTTTCCTTTTTGGTATCTTATTTAAAATATTCTTCCCAGATATCTTTTATGTACTCATAAAAATTTTCTTTATTTTTTTTTCTTTTTTTTTTTTAATTTAAATTTTTTATTGTTGGCTGTTCAAAACATTACATAGTTCTTGATATATCATATTTCACACTTTGATTCAAGTGGGTTATGAGCTCCCATTTTTACCCCATATACAGATTGCAGAACCACATCAGTTACACATCCATTGATTTACATATTGCCATACTAGTGTCTGTTGTGTTCTGCTGCCTTTCCTATCCTCTACTA